CAAGGCAGATGGAAATGCTGCCAACCCACAAACTGTGTGCCAAAGACACTTGGATTTTTCACACATCCTTAAAACCAGAATCTTCAGCCTGTCTTGCTCAGTAGTTAAGTGAAAACTTATCAACTTGGACCTATATATATTAATATAAAAATTGAGAAAACCTCCTTGAAACTAAGGAGCTCAACACACTGTAAAAATACTGCATCCCTTTATGGAATGGTCACAAGAAACATCTTGACATCTAACATAAGGAAAGGATGTGTACAAGCAAATAAATAAATACATTCAGAGTCCCTAATACCAATGTGGAAAAGAAGTTCCTTTTTCCAAATTAAATTCTGTATCTTAACACAATGAATCTGAAGACTTGTCAAAAAGATAAAATCTGTATCTCCACAAAAACTTACTGAAAAAAGCCCTCAGTTTTAGTTACTACAACAAATAAATAAAATGTTATGAAGAAGGATGACAAAGAAATCCAGAGAAATATCAGTAATGATATGGAATAAAGATGGCTTAGACAGAAGAAAGATTAAAATGACATGATGCAACAGGCACTGAATCTCCTTTCCTAGAACAGGGTCATTCCTTAATCTCTGCTGGGGATCCTAAGTATTTGTTCATTGGCTGATGGGGCCCAGTGACCTGTTAGGATATAACCAATTTAAAATCGCAAAACCATAGCAAAATGCAACAGTAAAAATTATAAAAGCCTTCTTAAACATTTGCTCTTGTCCCTGGAATATCCCAGTTTAACACAACTGGTCTGTAACAAGTGCTGCTGGGCTCTGTACATCTGCACATAGATAAAGAAGCAAACGTGAAACAGCTTCCACTGGCTAAATTTACATTTGATAATCGTATAATGTGTAGCTTGTGAGTATACTGTGAATTCCAAAGTAGGAATTCAACTGCAAATGGAACTCGTTCTGAGTGCACAATGAGTTCAAAATCAAACAGTCACTCAAACTTCTTAAACTCTGAGACAAAACTCTCTAGGAAAAAAAAAACAATAAACCATATGCAAATCACAAACTAAAAAAATCAACAACTAACACAACAGGCCAAATCAACCCCATTCTCAATTTGCTTTAGAGTTTGGGAGGAAGACTGTGAGTACACTGAGATAGAACATGACTTCTGGGGTTAATTTACACAATTGAGGGATGCCAGTCAAGGTTTGCTACAAACTTGTCCTTCAGATCAGGTCTCCAAATCAACCCTGGAGGCATGATGAGCAACAAACAAAACAAGGGAAAGGATATAAAAATCAGCTGATACCTAACTGCAGGCATTCTGAGATCTTGCCTTTTCTCTTTCTTACTTCTTTGCTCTCTACATATTTACAGGAAAACATTATCTTTGTTTCATAAAAGCCATCTGGATTAGCTGTTTATTTCCTTTAAACCACAATCCCTATGTTATACCCCAACAGGTTTTTCTGAAAAATGACTGACGTTTACTACAGCCAAGAATCAAGAGTGGCAGCAGAGGAACAGTTAAGAAACAAGGAACTCATTTGCAAGTAGGCTTCCTAAATAAATACAGAAACCTGGTGGAGCGTGAAGACATGGAAGTGGAGGTACAAGAGAGGGTGGAACTCCAAAAGGACCTGAACGTGTGGTGACAGCTGAGAGCACAGGAGGTCCACGACAAGAGTAAGTGCAGGGGACTGGGGATGTCCATGGGCTGGGTATGGATCTCACTAACAGCCAGTCAGAAAGAAATTTTCCCCTAATATTTTAAAAACTTCATTTGTGAATCTACTGTACACCAGGAAAGCACGAGTTGAGTGGCTACTGTCAAGGATCACACTTCTGAACTCGGCAAATGACTGCATTTGCCAAAGTACACAAAGTACACTGCCCAGCCCTCAAAACACAGGAAAAACACTTCAAGACAGGCTAGGGGAGTTTTCACCATAAGTTAATGTACACAAAAAAAACTTGCTGGAAACAGCATTAATTCAATGTTAATTCAACCTGAGAAAGGCAAAGAGGGACTATAAATCAGAAGCTAATTTCACCTGTAGAAAACAGTCCTGGAATACGTGTTCACAGCATGACATGAGGATGTCTCAAGTATTTAATTTTTTTCATGAAAAATGAGAAAAAGTTCTGGTGAGAATATAGAAGTCTGGCTAGTTTATTAACAAAACCCAAAGTTTGTTCCTCTTTGCCATAACAATGAAATAAAAAGAGCAGCACTGTTGGATGTCAATTCCACAGGAAAGACCCTTTCCCATATTTCTTTCTTAATAAATTTTATTTTAGCTAAGATTACTGAAATTTAAATAATCTAAATCTGTTTTGGTTATGAAACAAGTTCTGATTTAGTTCCTGAACCTTTTGCAGTTTATATCAAAAAGAAGATTTGTCAGTGTATTTTTCTTATCCCTAAGATAATAGTGTCATTTTCTGACACTGAAAAATTTTACAAAAGGAAAATTCAAATTAGAAAATAATTTTAAATCTAAAACTACTACTGAGAGTTTATATAAATATGCCCACTCATAAATTTAACAACAATCTGATACTTAACGTATTACAATTGCCCGTGCTTCAAGTACAACCAGGTAACCTTAGCTGAAAATTGCTGACAGTGCCTAGAAGAAAGTGCACTGACTTCTTGACAGTAGTTTTAGATATTTTTAACAAACGAATGAGTGTTCTGTTGTTAATCATTAAATACATATTTATCTCTCACTACCTTTTTACTCTTTTGTATCCCCCAAACATGTTACATTTTAACTCCTTGGAAACATTTCTCAAGTTTCATCTTTCCACTTCCGGTAACCCGTATTGGGCACCTGCATTTTAATATCACCACAAAGTGGTCCCAAAACATGAATTCATGTGATCACTTGCTCTTGCAAAAGCAGCCATTTGCCTTCCAGTCCAACGTGCCCTTGCTGGCCTCGTTTCATGAACTGGGATTCTGCAATGCACATCTGTGTTACAGTCAGTGCTGCCAGGCTGAAGGGCTCTTTTGGGAACACCGAGGAGTCCATGTACCTTGTAAATGCAAACAGTAAAAACCCTCAGGTGATTAAAGAAACTGCTTTTTTTTTTTTTAATCCATTCCATAAAGGTTTAATATAGACTCCAAGAAAAATCTTTCAACAAAGTTTTTATCCTCTTACCTCACAAAGTCCAAAGGGGAAAAAAAAAAAAAAAAGGGAATATAACCAGTTGAGTAATGCTGCCCCAGCGTTTTCCTGGTTTGCAGCGCCGTGTGAGACAGACGTGCCTGGCTAACCCAGGTTAGCAGCAAAAATATCAAATACAGCAGTTATTATATACAACAGACGTGATTTAAGAAGTAACAAGCGAGTCTTAATGTACGAGCAAATCTCAAAATATATCCAATGTCCCGCACCAGCAGCTGACGCCCCGCGACATACCCCGAGCCATACCCAGAGCCATCTCTGGCTGCGGGCGGCGGGTCCGGCCCCGCTCAGCGCAGCGCCGGCACCTGCGGCAGCCCCGGCAAACCCCCCGGAGCTCGGGGACGCGCCGGGCCCGCCGGCCGCGCTTCCACAGGCACCGGGCGAGGCCGGGGCTCCGCGGCGTCTCCGCCCCGCTAACCCGGTGCGGGGACGGCTCCGGCCTCCCAGCGCCCGCGCCCGGCCCTGCTCGGCCTCGGAGCCGCAGCCCGGCTCCGGCTCCCCACACCGTGCCCGGCCCGGCCCGGCCCTGCTCACCGGCGGCTCCCGCCGCGCCCGTGCCGAGCGCCGCTCCGCCGGGCCCGTCACCTGACCGCCCGGAAGCGCGGCCGGCGGAAGGGCCCGGCCCCCGCCCCACCGAGCGCGGCGGCTCCGCGGGCCGGGCCGGTGTCACTGCCCGCGGCCCTCCGCAGCCCCGGCCCCTCGTTACCGTGGGCTGCTCCGGGGCTGCTCCGCCCGCGCTCGGCCCCCGCCGCGACCCCCGGTCCTGCGGGCGTGGGCGGCTCTGCTGCCCGGGGAGGGGCGGGGGCCGCTCCAAACGGCGGCTCCGGGCGCTGCCAGGAGCTCGCAGCGAAAGCTCGGCCCAAGCAGGAAGGGAGGAAAGAAAAGGAAGGACGGAAAAGGAAGGACGGAAAGGGAAGGAAGGAAGTTTGAGGGAAACGAATTGTTGACTTAGGAGTGCAGAGTGCTAAGAATCTGAGCTGAGAAAGGGGCTCAGGATGGAAAGAATCTGTGCTGAGAAACTCCAGGATGGAAACGGAAACAGAGAGCTTGATAAAGGTATTTAGAGATTGATAAAGGTATGTATACAGTTGTGAGAAACAAAAGAACCAGAGGGACCAAAGTGAGGGAGAGGAGTTGACCTGCGCGAGAAGGCATTTCTGGAGGGTTTGTCCCAGCTCTGAGGGCACCCCACCAGTCCTGAGAACTCCAAGGTGCAAAACAGCCCAAAATTGCTTGTTCTTTTACACAGTGGAGAACGGGTAAATCCTAAACCAAGGTCTTCCACTATAGCAGGTGAGTTTTATTAGGGAATAGTGAAGAAATTAAGGGAAGTTAGTGCCAAGGGAGCCCATCAGATAGAGCCCAAGGATATTGGCAGCGGCCTGTCTGCTGCCAGGCAGCCTGAGAGTGCAGAGCTCTGGTGTGGAGGTTGGAAGGTGCAAGCCAGGAAGTGTCCAGCAGGATAAAAACAGTTATACGAAATCTTCCTGCTGCTTTCCTGCACGCAGGCTTGGCAAAACCCACAGCAAAATGGTTCTCCAGAAGCCCACCTAGAATCACCAAACACATTGTATCACACCAGAAAATTTCAAGGTGACTTGAAAATGTAGCACTTAACGTGACAGTGCTGATGGCATGAGGAGCACACAAAGCAGTCCTTCCTGCCGGCAGAGAGGTGAAAATCTCTGGCAAAGCGGCTCTCTCGTTTTCCACCAGCAGGGCTTGGCACAGCTTCTATGCTCCAGCAAAACTTTTCATGTCAGTGTAGTAACTGATTAGAACGTAACCAGGGCCCCACAGACATTAACCGAATCCTCCAAAAGCTGATTAAAACAAGGAAGAGTTTATGAAATTCGGGTATGAGGGACGGTGTTGGACTACAGCTCCCGGCATGCTATGCGGGCGGACTGCAGCTCCCGGCATGCGCTGCGGCCGTACCATAGCGCCCAGCATGCCCCGCGATTGCAAGATGGCGGCGCCCAGGGGCGTCTCGGGCCCGGACAGCGACACCGGCTCGGGCTCGGACTCGGACTCGGAGAGCGGCGGCGAAGCGGCCGCGCGGTTCCGGGAGGCTGCCTGGGACTGCACCGCGCTGGCGGCGGCGCAGGCAGAGCCGTGCGGCGGTGAGAGGCTGTGGACGAACTGGGCTCTGCTCCCCGCGCTGCGGTGTGCCCTCCCCTTTCTTCCCCGCCCCGCCGCTCCGGTCCGGCCCTCTCCGCAACTCCTCCTGACCCGTGGGGATTCCTCTGTGCCGCGCTGCCGGGGTCAGAAGCGAGGGGGCTCTGCCCGACCCTCCCGAGCCGTGTCCGGCCTCCAGCCCGGCCCAGAGCCCCCTCCCGGCAGTCCTGGCCTGAGGGGAGTTCCCCTTTCCCCTCATAACTGTTCTCCCCCGAAGGCGGCCCAGGGCTGTCTTTCAGGCATTGTTTTTATGCTCTGACATGTGCCTGGCGGCGGTTAAGGAGGTTCTGGCAAGTCTCTAAGTGTGCTTTGCTGCTCTCCTTTCAGGGGGCTTTAGAAAGGATCGGTTGCAGCCTAAAGATCAGCCAAGCTTGAGGTATTTTTGCTTCTGGTTTCAGACTTAATGTTTCCATGAAGAAAAAATTGATGTGCAATATTTTTGCTGCTTCTGACTTTGTACCTTATGATACTTTGTACTGAAAAGGGAAGTTTCTGTTTGGGGAATTAGTCCAACCATAATCTGAAATGATGCATAAATATGTACAGGATAATACGTTTTTAAGGTTTTGGGTGAGAGGGACAGATATTATTGGCCTCGAAAGAGATAATCCTTGTTCTTATTTCAAACGGGCGTGAGGCAATCGGCCGTGAGGAGGGTGACAATGAGCTCCAGACAACTCCAGAGTTCAGAGCACACGTTGCAAAGAAACTGGGAACCATGCTAGACAGGTACTGGTGTGCAAGGCTTGAAACCTGTGTTCTGTGGGTCAGTTACACTGATGTGTTTGTGTGCTAAACACGGGAAAGTCAACATCTTGTCTCCTTCATGCCTGTGTTAAGTACAAACTTCCAGTATTCTGTGACCTAACCTTGCTGATGTGTTGTGCCCATCTAGTCAAAACTCTCTGTGCAACACTGAGTGTCTTCATTTGCCTCTGTGGTGAACATCTTGTGGGGAGAAAAGAGATTTCCATCCTGTAAAGGCTGGCAGGAGAACCTTTGATTTGTTCTCACAACCTCCACCAGTCCTTGAATCAGGGCTGTGCTGGCAGAATGGTACTGGGCTGCCACTCTGTCTGTTGGGCAAAGATGGCCCTGAAGAACTGGAACTCCTGCTGTTCAGAGCTGGCTTCAGAAACACTGTTTTCAAACTGTTCTTCTCTTCCTCATTGCTGAGGAGAGAAGGCCTGGTCTGCTCTGGAAACAGGGAGCTGAGGCAGCCTCAGTAACAAAAAAGGATCTGTGCAACATCTCCCTCTAATCTTGTTTCCCAGAAATACCCACCTGTAGCTCAGTTTGCACAAACCTGTCTGAGATCTGACTGGGATTTTCTGTTTAGTGTCATCACTGTCTTGAAGGATCCATCAGGACCATCACAGACTTGGTTGGCACAGTCAGACTCTGAAGATGATGGTGAGTTCCAGTCTCAGCCTCTGTGGCTGTTTTGTGACTGTGGCTGCTGACAGGTGGGGTGGATCCTGTCCATCACCAGGACAGTGCATCCCAGTGACTCAAACATTTGCTCTGAAAGAACTTCTGGTGGTGTCTATGAGGGCTGCTCCTTTTCAGTTCTGACCTCTGTGCCCCAGGTCCTCCCACACAGTCCCAAATAATTGCTGTCAAGCACTGTGGAAACACAGAAACAGCACTGAGGCTTCCAGGGAAAGAGCAGTTGATTGATTCCACCTCTGCCTAAAACCCCTCTTTCCATACTTCAGGTTTTCGCCTCTTTTCTTCCTCTGTCCCTGGAGACTGTGGGAAACCAGAGCCTTGCCCTGCAGCGAGGAGGAGGAGGCCAGTTAGCTCCAGGTGAGGTGCTGGCAGCTGCTTTGCTCCTCAGGTACTGCTGCATCCCACATTTCAGAGGCAGCTGAGACTCCCACAAGGGAATAGGAAGCTGAAGAGCTTGAGAAGTGTGTGTTTATGACTCCTATATTTGACTAGACCAGAATTTTGTTTCTTTTTTAGTGCTGGGGAATGAGAAGTGTTTGTGGGAGATTTTATTTCTCCTCCTAGAGTGTGTAAAGAGCACATTGGCCTTCAGACTGGTTAAATGCAAACTGTAGGTGTGGGAGTCCCAGAGCCACTGGTGTTTATTGTGTGTTCTCATCTCAGATTATTCTGCTGTTCAAGTTTTGGGTGAATTCAAGAAAAAATACAATACAACTTCCTTCCCTCTTGTTGCCTTTCCAGTGACACAGACAGTGAGCAAGAGTGGCAAAGGTGCCAGGAGGCTGCCATGTCAGCTGCAGATATTCTGAAGCAAAGTGCTTTCCCTGTATGGTCCCAGGGCTCCAGCCAGGATCAGAGTGAGAGTTATGTAGAACCCAACCAGAAAAAGAAGAAGAAGAAGAAGAAAATGAGGACAGACAATAATATTCAAGAGAAAATAATAGACCCAGCAGAGTGTGACCAGATCTGCAAAGATTTGCCTCGGTTGGTGTCTGCAAATGGCCAGCAGGAGAGACAGAACAGCCATCACAGAGAGAACTCTGTGCTGCCAGGAGCTGTGAAGAAGAAAAAGAAGAAGAAAAAAGAATGATGATTTTGCTCTGCAAACAGCAGGTGGTTGTGATGGGTGAAGGAAACTGAAAGAAAACCTAACAACAAGAGTTGCTGCAGATGAGGGAAAATTAATTGGCAAAGCATCTGTTCTAAAAGCTCAGTGGCCTGAGAGACTAATTAAGTGACTTCCTGTGCTACTGGCGTCCCTGAGGAAGGGAACATTGTTCTCACACAGCAGTTGGCTGTGCTGCTGCTTGTGCAGGCCCCATCTAAAAGGATTAAATACTGTGCCAGACTTGAATGGCAGAGGGATGTGATCATAGCTGCATTCCTCCTGGTCTGTTCCTTCACATCATGAAACCCTTCTGGAGAAAGTGTATGATGAATTGAATTTGGTTTACATGGCAACAGGTGATCAGCTACTTTTTTGCCTCCTTGTAGACTGCTAAGAATAGCTCTAGCCTGTGGGAGACTCATTTATCAAAAGCATCCTGTCAGAAATCAGGGCCCCTTATTTTTTCCCTGTGATCATCAGAACAATCTGATTTTGAAACCTGCTGTGTTACTAATTCCTCTGCAATCTGCACCTCTCCAGGACCCCTGCACATAAACAGTGTGTGGTGAGCTGATTTCAGGGTTGGTGTAAATGCATCCTACTGTTCCAGTTGTCTCTATTCAAAATTTTTTTCATGTATAGGTTTTTTTTTATGGCATCTGTTGTTATTAAATTTTACTACACTCTTGGACCTACTTAATTTTGAAGGTTTTGTACAACAGTGGCTTTAAAACATTGCTGTATTCAGATTGTCCCCAGAAAAGATAGAGGTGGCTCAGGATGGCTTTTTAGTTGCTGGGTGATCAATGCTATGAAATTGCTACAGGAAGGACTTCAACATAATTTAAAAACCACCTTTCAGTCCTTGTTTGGGCTGGTTAATGACTTTTGTCTCCATGAAATACTGTGAAGTTTGGTCGTTTTCACTCTTTGTCTGTTTATTCTTCATTTCCCAGTCTTTCAGGAGATTAGCTGTTATTGATACATACTTATATTTTTAAGATTCCTGGGTTTCAGGAAAGCCAACTTATTGGCCCAATTCAGAAGTTCAGAAAGCCAGATTAGAGAAACCAAAAGAGTGAAGTGTACCCCTTTGAGCATGGGAAATAGTTGTAAGATTCTTGCTGGTTTTTAGTTAAGAAAACACAGCTGGCATCCAAAAATAGAGAAACTAAGTAGAAACTTGGCTTATAATCTTAAAAGAATGTGCCAGCAGAAGTTACTCGTCTTATGTGCAGTTAAAACTTCAGTGTACTGAATTTTAAACCTGGGGTTTCAATTCATGGTAGCCTAAACATTTAGTTTTGAGTTTATTTTTATGCTAACTGGAAATTAGATATATTTGCAACTGGTGTACATGGGAAATTAGGAAACAGTTCTAGGATAAAATTCCTCAGAGAATCTTGTTACTGAAATTGTTGATGGTATCTAGAGAAAACTCTTATGAAACTTTTCACGGATATCTGCAATTTTGGTATTCCCAGATATCATAACTGAAGAGTTCACTGTTGGGCATTTTTCAATTCTCCCTTCCAGTCTCAAGGTTTTTCATGCATTTCACAGTTGAAAGAGTAGCTCAGTTTCAGTCACAGACAAAAACTTGTTAGTTGGGGCTGTATTCATGTCTGGCTAATGATGTGTCAGTGATGTGGATGTTGAGAGTAAATAGAGGAATAATTAGAAGAGGAATTACATAAGTAGATCCTTGGGACTGAAACTCTTCACTTAGTGCAAGCACGACTCTTAGACCCCGGGTAGTTATTTGTATACCAAGAACTACAAATCAAGCCTAAATGGAAGCTGAGATGAGCCATGTTCTGTAAAATGAATCCAAGCTGAATGTTTATAGAGAAAACTGGAGGAGCCTCTACTCTGTGTGGAGCATGGGAACCTCTCAGGTGCTGGGCAGCATCAGGGACCAGTGGGGAATGCCATCCTGCAAATCATTCAGCAAGTCAGATGAGATGAGAATCCACGGGGTTTATGCAGAGAACTGGAATCTCCTTGCAGCTGTTAAACTTTAATTTCTGCATTTAAAACAAAGCAGAGCTATATCAAAAACAACCAAGCCATTTCCACTAGGATAGCATGATTTTAGAGCAGGTCATTTTTAACCAAGAATGTTTGGTATTTTGGTAGTTAATTAAGGATTTGTAGCTTGTCAGTGATCCCATACTGACAGATTTGTGCCAAGCAATTCCCAAATCTGTTTCTTGGTTATTCTCATTGCAAAGTCAGGAACTTCCAAGGTGCTGTTATTTCTTATAGTTCCTGTTGGTGCTTCCTTGTAGCAAAGGAGGAGAGTGTTTAAAGGTGGTGTCCCTTCTTTGGCAGCTCAGCCTTGCTCTTTCCCACATGATTTAGTCTGGTGCTGGCAGGTTTATACAGACCCAGCTTGATGAAAGCTGAGCTGAAATAAATCCCATCCACATCCTGGCACTGTTGGGATTCCTTCTTGGGCAGCCACAAAAGGATGTCTAGCCATTCTGAGCTGGCTGGTAGGGTTTGGGTTTGCTGTGGTTTGTTTTTTTTGGGGGGGGGGGGATGGGAGGGGGTGGCAGTGGATTTCAGCAGTGCCAGCATCATCTTTCCATGTTTTCTGTCTTGAGCCTGAGACTTTTTCTCTCCTGGAGGCAGCTGAGTAGGGGTTTGTGTGAGGCTGTGATGGCAAGCACGGCTGGAGTTGCACCTGGCAGGTTGGTTGTGGCAGTCACTCAGGAGCTCTTGTGGTGGTTACTGGGTGGAAGATGCCATCTGTGTGGAGATGAAGGTCTCAATGACGTTGTGAGTGGATGACAGCAGCTGGCTGTGGCTGTTGGTGGAGTCAGAGCTTTGGTACAGCACTAGGCTGCTGGAGGACACTGCCAAAGGTACAGGCAGAAGTCAATTGCAGGTTCTCATCAGCCCCTTATTGCATGTACACCCCCATTTCCAGCATGGCTGTGCTCTCCTGACTTAGGGGCATAACTGCTTTTGTCTGTATGTTTTGTGTGCTGCTAAATACCTGGCTTCTGTCCAGGCTAGCTTGAAAACATTGAGGACAGCAAGCTCCAGAGAGTTCAGTTCTAAGAATTCTAGATGATGTCCTAGTTCTCCTCTTAGAACTGGGAAGACCCAATTGGAGTCTTCATGAGGGAGTCTTGGGCTTCTCAGACCTGAAAACTGCCCACAGGACTGGTACTCATTGAGGCTGATTTTTGTTTATATTTTTCAAGATATTTGCCTTTCTAAAAGGCCCAGTTTCCACAGTCTGGCCTTACATGCACTCTGCTCTGAATCTTTTCCTTGTATTGACTTTTCAAACCCCTCAGGACACTGGCAGAGCCAATTTCGGGAATTGAGGGCCCCAGTTACCATTTTCTAACTGGATTTTACAGTGTTGGCTAGAAAAACTAGGCAGTACAAGGCTTAAGAGCCACAATAGTGGCTGCTGCTCTTACCAGCAGGGCTCGAGGTGAGGCGTGGGCCTGGCTGAAGGTGCTGGATTGTTGTGTCCTGGTTCTGTAGATGGATTGTTGGTGCCTGTGACACTGGTGTGTGCATCCCAGACTCGGTGTGAGTCTCTGAGTCAGGTGTGAATGCCTGGAGAAAAGAGAGTTAATAGTGCCTGCCTTCTACATCCCTTCTAACAGCTGTGAGAGAAGCATTGAGCAGGGCAGTTTCTGGGGAGGTGAAATCCTCCTGGATGATGCAGTGAAGATCTTGCACTTGTGCCTCCAGTGCTGCAGCTAGTACCAGCAGGGCCAGGAGATAAGAAAAAATGCTTCTACTGGGATGGCATGGACACACCCAAAGCTCTTTGACTTGCAAGGAGCTGCCTGCAGACTGGTGCAGCTCTCAGGAGGGGGAACAAAGGCTAAAGAAAAGCTGTTACCTGTTTAGTTGGTGTCAGGTTGGTCAGGGCGCTGAGATTGGCTGTGTCTGTTATCACCATGGTTTGTGGTAAGAGGCCTGTGTGTGTGTATTGAGTCACTTCAGATTTGGGGCCATAAAGAGCTGTACATAAAAGAAAACAACATCATGTGGATGCTGGAGCTTTGGCTGAGTTCTCCTCATGCAATGGGACCTGATGTCTATATCCAAAATGCTGGGAGTGGAGGGGCAGGGAGATAAAGGCAATAGAAAACTAATTTCATAATTAGAGCAACAAGAACAGAGGAGGAAAAGAGTGCTGTAAGCCCAAGGACCCAGCAAATGCACTCAAGGAACAGTGTCTTTATTTTTGTTTACTTAAACAAATGAGTTCACATTCTTACCGTGAGGGTTCTGTATCTGAGCCATGGTAGCCATGAAGGGGCTCTGGTTGATGTGGCTCTGCACTTGCTGCATGAGGGGCTGCTGGTAGGATGGGTGCAGTTGCTGGGAGAACTGAACGGGCTGCAGGGTAGTGAGGCTGCTCCCCATGCTGTTTATTACAGGAACACTCTGGGGCTGGGTTGAGGCCAGGCCTGGAAAACAAGGGCTGATGCCAGTGGTGTCCCACACTGTGGGAGAAGTGTGGCTGCTCAGCAATAGGAGCATCTGAAACAGCCATTGGGGCAGCCTGTCACTGCAGGGTGATTTCAGATCCTGCTTTTCAGGTGTTCCCTTGATGGTCTGTGATTGAGAATAGATTTCATGCCTGTGAGAGTGAAGTGGAAATGTCAAAAAACCTGCATAAACCCACCTCTGGTTTCCAGTGTTTGTTCCTGTCTACATTTTTGTGTACCAGTATAGTTTCTTTCCCAATTTAGTGATCACCAGGGAGGTCTTGCTCAAAAATAAATTCAGGGCATCACCTCAGTGCCCAGTTCATTTACTCTTTTTATTTTATGACATTGTTGGCAACGCAGATAACTAGGCTGTAGCTGTCCAGCCACGTGAAATGGAGTTTCAACTCTTTTTGCTAGGGCTGCCAAATTAAGGCATTTGAATCAGTGAGAGGGGTAGAAGCTTTCACACGTTACTGCCATTTCCTACAACTGTCCAGACCCGGTAAATCAGCAGGTCTCTCCAGCACTCCGTTTTTTTTTTTTTTTTTTTTTTTTTGTTGTTGTTGTTGTTTTTTTTTTGGTTTTTTTTTTTGTTTTTTTTTTGTTTGTTTGTTTGTTTGCACAGAATTCAAATCCATATCATAGTCTTGGGAAGAAATGCAAATTAGTTCACAGCTGTCACCATGGAACAAAACAAGGCCTCTTTCTTCCTGGGAAGAAAGTGTAAGAAAAGAGTATACACTTTACTTTCCTTTCCTCTAATGAGATGCACTTTGGCAGTAGACTAGTCTTGGAATAAAAAGAAATCTCGTAAAAGTCCAGAAAAGCTGTCAAAGTGAAAAATATAAAAAAATAGTAATTACTGCTGTGAATTCAAAAGGTCTATGCTGCTCTTTGCAGGAAGTGGAACACGATGTTTTGTCTTTCAAGCACTATGAACATTCTTTAATTTTCATAATTTTAAGGAAGTAATATATTTATATTTAGAAATACGTAGAGCTGCAAACCAAAACATTGGCATAGGAATAGATTGTAAAAGTCCCTTACTTTTACAACGTGGGTTCTGTGTGTAACTTAATTCTACCATGAATGAGGAACATCTATCCTTAATCCCAGTGGTACTTGCCAGCAGTGCTGCTGATCTTTGGTGACCATTTCCTCTGGTCTGTACCACTGCCAAGTTAGTGGTAAGGCTTTGAAAATGGGGCAGGTAATTGTAACAAGGACGGGCAGGTGTTGCTGTGGGTGCAAGAGCAGAGTCCTGCAGCCCCTACTCACCGATGACCAGGGTGGAGGCGCCCGTGTTGGTGAAGGCGGGTGCCAGGGACGGGGTCTCGCCCGCCCCGATCGCCATCACCCCCGGCAGGGAGGCCATGATCAGGTTCTGCGTCTGCTGGCTCAGCGTGTGTGGGCTTTGCTCCAGGCTGTGCAGGGCAGTCAGGGTGCTGACAGGAGGGAGGGTTCCTCCAGGAGCTGATACCTGCGGGAAAGGAGAGCCCTGAATGTGCCACCTGCAGCAGGCAGGTCCCAAAGCTGTGATAAACACCTTTCTTCCTGCTCTTCCCCCTTGCTAACTGGAAGGGCTTCACATATCCTTGTCTGCTCATCAATTAACTAGCACAGGTCAGCTGTTGACATACTAAGAGTAAATCCCTGCTGGTTTAGTGCTTTCACATTTAAGAAATTGTAAGAATGAAATTAAGCCCACTGCATTCTCTATAGGGAAAGATCATCTTCTGTTTCATAGCTGAAGGCAGAAGGTGAAGCTCAGAGAAATTAAGAGGCTCAGGTAAGTTCACATCGTAATTCTACTAGCAGAGTTCAGCACACAGATTCCAGGAGTTCCTCTTTCCTTTTGGGACCTGTAGTCATAGTATTGTGGAAGAGCAAAAAAGCATTCTAGTGATTTGGCTGATAAAGTTAAATGCCTTATGTTATCCTTCTTTTCTCTCCCCTCAGATGAAAAGCTGTAAGGAGTCTTTAGTAAGAATAAGCACCAAGAGGTTAAACAGTGGGACAAACCACCTTGATATCAGTTTTAGAATACTGACATAGAAGATTCTCAGGACCTCGTGAAAGACTTATTTTTTTCACCAAGAGACCAGAAAGCCAGCAAAGTGAGTGACTGATGAGATTTAAATCATACTTATTTTTAGCAACCTTAACTTTGCCTCCAGCCAGCCTTTGCTAATGCAAACTTCTGCTGTTTCTCTGAAAACAAGGAAACATGTGTAGACTGAAAATGATCAGTCATGTAGTTCTGATGCTTCTTTGTAAATGATGTGGGAAAAGGTCTGGTCATATCTCAGGAGGAAATTGGCTTTGAGGAGGCAATCTAGTTATCCAGTACATGTCTGCTGTACAGGCTGTTTGGCTTCATTTTTACAGATAAGCTAGATGTAAGTATGAGTTTGTGTTCTGGTAATCCCACTGGTCTGATCTACTCTCAGGATGGGTAGAGTCCAAATAAGAGTTAGAGATGAGAATCTCTCTGTGGAAAGAAGGAGAGAGTAGGGTTTCCTGGGAAGAAAAAAATCTTGTCGTACCTTGAGTGCTGTGTTTCCAGAGCAGACTGTTTTAATTGCTCATAAGGAAATGCCTTCTTGCTTTCATGCTCTAATTCCAGCCCTCACCACAGTCTAGAGGGCACATATATCTCAGGACTATTGGTCTTACATGGTCAGTGCAGAGTGACTCTAATGTAACATGTTGTTACATAACAGGTTATGTAACAATATCTTACATATAACTGTGAAACATAAGGTGGATTTAAGAACATTCTAGAAAAAAATACCCACAATTAGTTCATATTATGACCACAGGCAGATGGCCTAACATCTCCAAGTCAGCAGAACAGGAGTATCCATCACTTACCAGCTTAGTGTCTGTGCTCAGCAGGTTCTGGCTGGGCTCCAGTCCAGGGGGAGAAACCTGATGCAGGATGGTTTGGGTGGTCACCATGGAGCTGTTCCCGTGGTGGTTGCTGCTGGAGGACTCTGCCTCACTGGCTGGCTGCTGGTTGTACCTCACTCCTGCATCACAACAGGAGGGAAACTGGTTGTCACAAGTGAGAAACTGAGAAACTTAGGCAGGCACTAAATTCAGTTTCCTTTGCAGGCACTTGCCACCAGATATTTGGGCAGGTAGTTAATGGTCAGTAGGGGAACCAGAAGAAAAGGCACTCACACCCTGCCCTGACTTTCCCCTGCAATTTGGTGTTACTGCTTCCTCACACACTGACTGGCTGTGAGTGCTGCAGGGAGCAGGAAGCCACCCCTCTGAATGTGCCTGTAGAGAGATCATCTCTTCCCAGAGTGAGAGCAACCCCCCAGCTCTGGCCTGTGAAGCTGAAAAAGCTGTGCTCTTGTTGGATGGAGAATGACTTTTCCTCATGCCTAAAACCTCTGTCACAGAGTCTGATGGGGCTGGCATTGAAAGGAGTAAGGGGCACACATGACTGAAAGGGCACAGAACTGACTTCTGATAGGCAGTGATGATTCCTGGAGCTGAGGGTTTGGGGTTGATGCCTGCTACCTGGGAGGCCTCACAGTAAGTGAGAAGCTTTGGCTGTGGGTTTTGTTACTGAATTTTATCTCCCTTGACATTCTAGCCACTCCTCACCCAGGAACATGGTCTCTTTGTCACCTTTGCTCTTCCCTTGTACAAATCTGCTTTTTCTATCTGTAGATTCGCTTCCTAAAGGGCTGGACTTTGAGACAGTTTAGGTGACTGAGTTTGGGGAGGTTCATATCTCTTTCAGATCTCCCTCTGGTTGTTTCTTACCATGAACTTTGCTGGGTGAGAGAGCAGGTGGTGGCTGAAGGGAGGAGGAGCTGTGGGGAGTTAGAGGAGGGGCAGAGGTGGGCTGTGGTCCGCTGAAAGTGTCCATGGCCAGCTTGTGCCGGAAAGCCTCCTCTTTCCTGCGATTGGCAAACCAGTTGTAAACTCTGACCTCTGTCACCAGGTTTGAGCCCAGTCCCTGGGCCTGAGATGGGGAAACACCTCTCTGAATACACTCTGCCCTGTTGGGAAAAGCACAAGAAGAGCCTTGCTGAGCTGGGCTTATTCCGAGCCACAAAGTAAATGCACAGGCCCAAAGTCGCTGTGGTCTGGCACACTGTGTGGAAGGGTCCTGAGGCTTTCCTTGTGCTCTGTGGACAAAGAACGATCAGCTGTGGCATTTAATTCAAACGTGGCTGGTGTCAGTGGTGCCACCCAGTGCTGCACCTTTGGCCTGCCTCACAGTGGCACCAGCAAACACCAAGAACACAGAGGGACTCTGCTGTGCCCCTCTTCCTCAAAGACACACACCCACCCTTACCTGTTGCACTCTTCCACCAGTGCCTCCCTCTCTTCTTTGCTGGGGTTTTTCTGCCTCTCATAGGCTTGGAACAGGATCTGTTGTGAGGCAGGACCCCACTTAAAGCGGTTTCTTCTTCCCTTCTTGGTGGGCAGGTCATCTCCCATGGGCTCGTCTGACAGGATACCCTGGCCAGCGTGTGTGAATTCTGCAAGCACAAAGGGGCAAGGGAATTTTTTCCTTGAAAACAATAAGGAGTAAGGACAAGCAGAATCCTTTATGAAACTGAGTCAGGAGAGCAGTTGTTGCCATACTTACGCTGGGCCACCTCTCGCTGCTTTCGGACATACCAGGTGTACAGGGCTGCCCGTTTTTGGGTCTTCATGGGAGTGCCCTTGTTGAGGTGTTGTGAGAGGTGGGATTGGTTCAGACCAGTGGTGTCCACCACCTCACGCTGAGGGATGTTGTGCTGCTGGAGGTAAGACTTCACCATCTTTGCTACTCGCCAGGGATCCTCTCTGGAAGGAACAGAAAACCTTTCTCAGGGGAGAGAGATCAAACACCTGCTCTCAGCAGACCTGGATTTCAAGGAAGTGCAGTAGTAGCTCCTGAGTGGCACTTGTCAGTCATCACCATCACGTTTGGTGAGGCCAGAGTGCTCATTGCCTGCAGGGGAGAAAGCTGTTCCCCAGTGTGCCTTGCTCAGTTCTGACTCTGTGTGCAGGGTAAAACTGCATCATATTGGAGATAAAGTGCAAAAAATGTAGCACTGGCTTCCTTTGAACTGCTGTCTGTACATGTTTAGGTCTTCCCTTAGGAGGAGACTTTGCTTACCAGGGGAATTTCCCAATACACAGAGGCAACCTCTCTCTTCCTTGTATTTTCCCTGTATTACTTTTCTTCTCTATCCCCCTCTCATTAAAGCAGATGTGGCAGATGTACTGAATTTTTCAAGACAGATTGATTGTGATACTAGACTGAACTTGACTCATTCCCTGATTCTGGTCCAGGTTGGGTTGCCTTGCAATGATTCAGCAAATGAAAACAGGCTGTCATTATGCTGTGACATGGCAACTCTGCATGCATATGTATATGACAAATCATCCAGAATTATGTTCTTACACATCTGCTACGTGTTACTCAAACACATTGGTTCACACCTAGATCCACTCAAAGCTTCTAAATGCAATGTAGAGCCACAGGCAAACCACTAATTCCTCCTACTGCTGCCCTCCTTTGGGTAACAGCTGAGGGAATAGAACTATTTAATACCTGCTCACAAAATCTGAGGAACAGTTTGGGATTTTATAATTAATGTGATCCTCTGGGCTTTTTGATATCCAGTTAGAATATCCATTAAGGTTCTTGAGGAAAATAGAGAAAACATGACTGTGACTTTATGTGTACTGATTTCACCCTAGCTGAAAGTCACAGTAGAAATAAAGATGTGAAACCCATCAGTCTAAATCCCAGCAGTGCCAGAGCACCTCTGCAGAACAGCTCCTGGCTCACTTTGAACAAGAGCATCCTTCTGTGCCTTCTGTGTGAAGTGTCTGGAGGAAATGGTTTGCAGTGCTGTAGGAAGACACTGGTGTCATATTCAACACCAGCATCAAAGGAGCAGTGGGGAGGAAAAAAGGTGCCTGGGACGGTGCAGAAACTGTCTCAAGAGCACACACATCTGAGCAACAGGCGACAACTGTGCTGTTCATGGCTTTGTTGACTCAGGAGGTTGCTGGAGGCTGCACAGTGATAAGGAGGACAAAGTCCACACCTGTTCTCTCAGTACAAACACCCTTATCTCTGTTCCCCTGCAGCCCCTCTCCCAGGGCCTGTGTAGTCCAAGGAGCAAGCTCCACAGCAGTTAAAGTGTGACACAAATGGTGTCAGTTACAGCTTTTTGAAAACCTGCTTAAAATAGAACGTTTGTTTCTCTTTTACATTGGAGCACTTGCCATAGAGGCTTCTGATTTTTAGCATCTTCCCTTAACTATCTTTGACTTTTAAAAATGTCAAAATGAGCTGAATTTAAGAAAGCTTTTCTTTCCTTGTGGTTCATTTTGTTTGTTTGCTTCTTTCTTTCTGCTGCCTAAACCAGTCTCCTGCCTTTGTACTTGTGATAGTCTGGCTAGCACCTGCACCCTGTGTTCATTGTCCAAGTCCCTCTACAGAGGAGAAAAGCCTCTGACTGGGAAGCTGACCCCTTTGGTTTGCGTTCTGGCTCAGATAGGAAGAGGAAAGACTGTGTTGTCCCTGATGGAAGCCTCTGTTATATGCTAGTTCCTTTCTGCACCCCAGTCAAGTCAGTTTTGTGTCCTCTGTTGAGATCCTCATTTTGTGGCAGGAATAAACAGTAAGTTGTGTGAGTCTCTTCTCACAGTGGTTAAAGACTTGTGGGTTTTGTCTTTTTTTGACACAGCAGGGAGCTTTGTGATGCAAAATAGTGCAGGGGATCTTAGTAGTGTGATTTCCTAGGACAGCTGTATGAAATCCTGGCTACTCTGTTGGTTGTCAAAGGCCAGTCTGCAAAACCAATGCAGCAAGTACTTCAGGCCCAAGGCTACACCACAGTCCAAGTGATGACAGTCTGGCCAGCTGAACCCTTGCTCAAATACACAATTCCACCTGCAGAGCCTCCATCACAGGCTAAGACATCAGAAGCTGAGACCTCTTCTTTTTCACTGTCTGTAAGAATATCATTGACTGTCAGAGGGAGGATTTCACTCTAAACTGAGTTCTCCTGCTTGTTGTTACAGCCAAATCTCAATTGTTACAGTGAGTCAGAACTGCACAAATAGGTCTGCTTTGCTCAAGCTCTCCTTCCCTATCATCTCCAATTTTCTGCCTTTTAGTTTCCCTTTCTCCTCAGATAGCAAACTGTCTCCCCAGGGTCTTGTTCTCCAGGGTGTAATCTGTCTTACACAGGTAGCTTTTACTTCTGTCTTCTGAAGTCTTGTTCTCCTGCTCTCAGTTGGTTATTGCCATGTGAGCATAGCCCTTCTCCATGGCTCATCCCCAGCACAGGGGCCAGGGTCCTCTCTCCATGTCGGCTTCCCATTTTCTTAGTTCTGAGGTCACTTTTTAAGGGCGTTTTCACCTCCCTTTTGTTACCTGAACAATAAGTAACCCAGGTAGTTAGTTATAAACTCAAAGGGAACAAGAGGCTGGTTGATAATTTATAGCAACATCTCAAATTTAAATGGAAAGTAAATATCAAGTTGTTAGCATTAAAGAAAACCCATTCCAGAGAGCTGGAGATGTAACGTTCAGGGGACCTTCTCCCTCCTTCACTCTTCCTGACTTTTTATTTTTCCTTTGTTCTTTTCTTTCTTCTCCTCTTCCTCATTCTGTCTCTCTCCCCTTCTTTCCTGTTCTGATTCTCAGGTGGGAGAAGCCTTCATTTCCCTGAGGTGGGTTCTGAATTGCTGCTTTGGACCAGACCCTGCTCAAGCAGAGGTTCAGAGCTGGGAAGTGCTCAGGACCATCCCCAGCCCTTTCCTCTGGAGCTGCTCCACAACTCAGTGCCCAGCCTGGAGCCAGGCTGGGCAGAGGGAAGGTAAGACCATCCATCCTGGCAGCATTCCTTTCTGTTGAACTTGGCCTGGTTTGCCTCATCTTGGTTTATATGTGGAAATGAAAGGGGTGTGGCATCTTCATCTCCAGATTCCCCAACTAGAGCCATTCTAAGCAGGGGAAAGACTGGACTTTTGTCATTATATGTCTTTGTTTTCATTTTTCCTTCTGGGAAACATGCTTTTATCCCTGCTTCCAGGGGAAATCTGTTGCTTATCTCAATTTCTCTCTTTCCTAATGGAATTTCAGCCCTTGCCCTACAGGTGGATTATCACTATGCCTCTCTTCATTTGCTTTACCTGCAGTAGTATGATCCCTTCCCCCAAGGTAGCCTCCTTCTTGCTTTATATTCTGGGAATGTCTGGGAGTTTCTCCTCACAGCTCTACCTCCCTACTGAGTCATTTATTTCTTATCATAGATGCAATTTGTTTTGTGTGTGGATTGATATGGAAAGAATGTTTTTATTCAAACTGTAAATCTACAGGAGATCAATGAGACATATGAAAGGACAAAATGAAATTATGTTAATTCCCCACTAGAGAAACCTTTATCTGAACTGCTTTTAGCATGTTTTCTCTGTAGGGATAAAATCTAATCAACACCCATGGGTGCACCCAGTCCTGTGAGTGTATCTTGTTTGTTCTACTCAGCTTTGACCAGAGTTTTTCAAACCAGTTTCAGCTTCAGTGGTCCTGTGAAGACATAGTTGGTCTCTTGGTGCTGTCAATTTTTTCTCTTCCCAGCTCCTGGAAAGCCTAATAATGGACAGTTTTCCTGATTCTATTTTATAAAGCAATTACCACAGACTTTCCTGTATCAGCAATAGCTGCCCACAAGTCAATCTGTCTGTTAAAATTTGGTCTGCAGACCAGGAATTGTTAATAATGCCCAAAGAGGCTTCTGTCTAAAGGGAGAATTGCCTCCATCTGATTTCTGCATTTGAAACCCGTGTGTAGATGGTGAAATAGTTTTGCAAGTATTGACCTTTTGCTGGGAATCCCTGGGCATGGAGATTCTTGCCTGCCTTTCTTTCGTCTATTGCTGGAAGTAATTTCTACCATAGACTATTCTGCCCTGCTTTACAATACTTACAGTACTATTTTAAGGACATTACTTTAAATCTATTAACGGAAAGGTGTGGTCTTAAAACCAAAAAAGTTTATTAGTAGATAAGAACTTCTTGGGTATTATCAACCCCTGATACTGGTTCAGGTGCTTTGAACAGATTTTTAGACATTCTGTTGATATTATGAGAAATGTGAAATATGTCAATGTAGGCTTCCTACTCTTTTCATTTTAACTTGATTAATTTAAATCTATTATAGACCTCCATAAGTGTACTTGTAATTTTTTTCTGACACTGAGGCTACTGGTGTCTTCATCCTATTGTCAACAGCAGAAGTGAATTGCTCTATCCTGTGGTGGGGGAGATTGATGGCAGAGATCTCTGATGTTTCAGAGTAAAGCCTGTGTAATTAAGAGGCAGTGTGAGGCTTAGGAGATCCCTGTCCTTGCCCAGTCTCCTCTGTGCTGTCTCAGGGGTTTAGGTAGGTCCTAGAATTTGTCTGTACCTCAGTTTCCATTTGTGAAATGGAAATGCTGCTCAGCACACTGTCTGACTGTACATCAAAAAGTGTTAATATCACAGCTTTGGAAGAGAGGTAAGACTTGTGGTGAGACTGGTAAGCACAGGGAAGACTGGCAGCAAGATCCTAGAAAGGCAGGGAGGATCAGAAGCCAGAAATGTTGCTGAAGTGAGGGTGACCAGAAGGAATTGCCTCCATCTGTGTGTCTGTTCTTAGATCACAGCAGATGTCACTTCAGTCTGCTTCACCCACTCATTAGAGAAAAGGGACAAAGCCAGGGAGGTCTTCCTCAACTTCCATGGCTTCCTTTCTGGAGAAATACTTGATAAACCATCAAAAGTTAATGATCAAAAAGCTTATCAAGGTATTTTCATCTATAAATTTATAAGACAAAAGAGAAATAATAAAGCCATTGGATAATTAGTAACTAGCCAGGGCCCGCCCGGTGCCACTGGGCTCAAACTGCCCCAAGACCTGTACGCAGACTCAGGAGGATGAGAAGGAGACAAGGATGAGGGGAAGAAAAAGAGTGGGAGGCAGAGAGAGAATCAGCCAAGGACACAACAAAATGGGAGGAATAGCAGCAGAAACAATAGTGAGGAGAGAAGGGAAATAGGTAAAAAGAATCTGAAAGATGTAAAGGAAGTAGAGAAAACTTAAAGATGTGGAAGAGCTGGAAGTACAGAAGATGAGAGACATACTGGGCCAGGAAGAAGACAGAATTACTGGGAATATTTTCCCACCCAGGTAAGAGCTGACCAATGAATTTTCCTCTCTTGGGTTCTGCAGACTCCTCAACTCCCAATCTGCCAGGGAGCTTTCTTTTAAGTATTTACAGGGAATGCTAACTCTTGTCATGCTCTTTTCTTAGCTCCAGCCTTTTGTGGTGGGATTTGATGTTTGCTTCTGCTGTTATATTTTCAGTTGTTTCCTTGGCAAGTGAAAGAGAGTGATCAGAAAGCCTGAGAAATTCCCCAGCTGGATTTTTAGTGAAGATTTTAAGTGCAGGATGTTGCTGCACCTCTGTCTTCTATCAGCTTGTCATTTCAAAATAGCCCTAAAGCAGTCAGGAATCTGATGTGATGGATGGTAGGATGGGCCTGATCCTTGCTCGGACAAACTTGGGTCTCCCATGGGGATTGTATCCCAGTAAGAATCCCAAATGGGAAACTGAGTGAATGCTTCTCTGACTTTATTGTGAGGCTTATTGATTCAGGGAGCTTTCCCTGTCTTTTGATCTCAAAAATGTTTGTATGCAAAGGCAAATTTTATGTGGCAGCAAACTCTGTAACTGTTGCTGCGTATGTACTTTGTAACTGTGATGGGCAGTGGGTGGTAGAAGCAGAATGTTCTGTCCAGGTTTAACCTCTGCATGTATTTGGTGTGTGCTTTTTACAAGAAAAATCCCCACCAAAGTCAGGGCACTTCACACTCAAAAGAGCAACAAGGACAGGGTCTCTTGATTTGGCTTTGGCCAATAATCTGTAGCAAACCCCAGTAAAATTAACAATATAATTCTCCTTAAATACAGCAGGAAAACATTACAACTTCACTGTGTCATTCATACAAATATAGCACCAGCTCAGATTGACCAGGTGGTCTTTTTCTTTTTTTCCTTCCTGATGACTGAAATTGTGAATTGTATTAAAAATTTAAATCCAAAACCCTAAAATTCAGTAAAAGAGATGAGAGCTATACAGGCCTTGGACTATTCTGAAGCCTGATGCTATAAGTATGTCAAATATGTAATCAGGTTCCATAGCTTCCTTAATGCATTTTAAGCGAGATAAAAGGAAAATCTGAGCATTTATAAAGCATTTGGGGGTGTTTGGGGGCTGCTAGTCCTGGCTTGGGTGAAGATTTTCTCTGTGCAGCTAGATCAATTGTGAATACTAGGGACACTGAGGAGAAGGGGAAAGGAAAAGAGATTTAGAGGGAAAAAGCAGCAAAGAGGAGCAGTAAATATATCCTTACTGTAATAGTCTTTCCACCACAGCCTTCTGGTGAGCAGCCTCCTCAGGGCTCAAGTTTTCCAGCTCCTTCATTATTGGAGGGGTAAATTCCTCTCCGTCATCTGAGGTTTCATCTTCTGATACCCGGGACTCCCCCATTCCGTTGGGGAGGTTGGGGATGTCGGGACAGGGCTCCCCTTTCTCGCTCTGGAGGGCATTGATAGCGCGCTGGCTTTCACTCTGGAGCCCGTAGGGTTCCGCTTCGCTCAGTGCCTTGATCAAGGTCTCCTTGGTCAGCCCCGACTCCAGCAGCGCTTCCAGCAGCTCCACTTGGAGATGAGTCAGCTTCGAGACCATGGTCTTCAGCCTGGTGTCTCCTGGGTTTGAATTTCGGGTTATCCTGCTTCCAGCTTCCCTACACCATGTTCCTGAGGTAACGCGCCCGACTGTCAGGAGAGTGGGCACAGCGCAGCCTCCCGCCTTTACACCCCCCAAAAAAAACAAAATACAAAATTGAGCCACTTCAGACCCCCCACGACTGTCCTCAGCCAGTGCTGATAAAGGGACCCTTGGCTATCTGTTTACATTGGAGCAAATGTAAATTCTCCAAGGTTCATATTTATCTGTGTGCTTTAGCAAGTTACTGAACTTTGGACTTCAGCACTGCTGCAGCAGTTCACAAAGTGCAGAGGGAGAGAAAGCAGGGGGAGGGGGAAAGGGAGGGAAGCAGGAGACAGAAGGAGAAGAAAATGAAGGGATAAAAAATCTGCATCATGGAAAAGTGAGTATGGAAAGAAAACTAGGAAGATGGGGATGGAGAAGCACGGCTTACTTGTGGCCCCATTCGTTTTGGAGAAGGAAGGAGGTGGAGTACCCAAAAGGAGGAGCTGTGCTTGGCTGCCCATGGTTCAGGACAAGGTGCTGCTGTTGGAATATCACAGAACCTGCTCAGAGCTCTGGCAGTGGTGAAGTACAGCCAGTGTCAGGCCCTGCCAGAGGCTTTGGGCTGAGAGAAAGCCACACGGGCTGCACTGGTCTTTGTGCAACCCTCAGAAGAGGGGGAAGTGACCACTGGCTTTATGTGAACATTCCCAAACCTCACATGGTATTCTGAAGCTCCAGCTGATTTCTGTGGCAGACCATCAAGACTTGACTGACATTTTCATTTCTGGCTTTGGCTGCTGGGTATCTTGATGTTCAAAAACTACACCTTGCTGTGTTTATTGCTCGACTATGAGCAGAAGCAGTGTTCCCACACAATCTGGGGGACTGCAGGACTTGCCCCTCTGAGCTTGTAATTAATGTATTTGATAAAGGATATCCCTGGGTGCTGGGTCATGCTCAAACTCCTATTCTATCATCAGCTGCCTGACTGCTTCTAATGAGTGCTCTGGGCAAGCTTGTGGTTCCCCTTTATCATCTGCCTCCATCCCTTCTTGATACCAGCCCTGCTCTGAGGTTCTGCTCCCACCTGTTGGGTGATTTCCTAAAACACGATCCCTGGCTTGGCTGGAATTGCTTAAAACAATTCTCCAGGAATCTTTTTGACTAAATTCTCTTTTCTGGTCTGAAATTATATGAATGAATCTATCTACTTTGAGTGGCTAAATTAGGGAGTAACTTGATGTGCACACGTGGGCTCGCTGCACGAGTGTCTCATGTGAGTGATCCCTTGGAGGATGTAAAGCTGTGGTCTCAATGGAAGCTTGCCGGGACAACTGCCTGTGTCTATACAGCCCCATGAGCCTGAGCTAAACAGAGCCTGGCAGGGCTGTCCCCAGACTGGGCAGTGTCCCAAGACAGTGCTGCAGAGGACCTTGGCTCTTGTTTTCCATCGTGGGCAGCACTGGCCAGGAGCTCTCCAGGCTCCTGAGTCAGCAGCTGCAGGACAGAGTTCCTGCAGAGGGACCCTCCTCCCTCCAGGCCCCGGGCGGGATTGTGTTAACTCTTGCCTTTTATTTCAGATCTGGTCTGTGCCCAGAGCACCACGTCCCCTCCCTGCAGGGCGTTAACAAAGCTCTAATGGATACTGACGACTTTGTGTGCCTAAAACGAATGAGAATTCCGACCCATGTGAAACCATTTATTTGAAGAAATGTTCATGTGAACATTAATGTAAAGACAACTTCAGCTTCTAAGGATTTTTTTTTTTTTGGGTCATACTCAATAAAGAGTTGTGCTGGTTTTGCACCCATCACAAGAGTATTTAAAGAATGCTGAGCGTATTTGGCATTGTACTGTCAGTGTGTTGATGCAATTTCCATGTATTTTATTTGTTATTACAGTTTTCCTTCATTCCTGCCCCTCAGGTAGACATGACAACATTACCAGCTGATAACAGTAATTTTAAATTGTAATTACAGTATCCAACCATGACATACAGTTTCTGCATGATATGTCCTTACAATTCAAGGATTTTGCAAACAGACACAGCAGATTGTGGAGTTCTTGCAATATGTGACAGAGGAGATGCTGTCATTCTGTGTTACTTATTTCTGCCTCTCTGTGGCATGGTGATCTCTTTTACATAAACCAAGGTGGAAAATATTACCACTGTTCTTAAAATTGGCCATATTGTGTTGGTGTATAAAACCTATTGAATGTCTGAGGGGTGATGGGGAACACAGATCATTAATTTTAAATAAAGAACAGCAATATTTGTCAATAGAAGCTGTAAAGAGAAGAAAGCATAGCAAGAAATTAGGTCTATATTATGTGGTTTCAAGGATTCCTTGTGCACCCAGAAGTCCTGATGCTGCTGCTTCTGCTTGTCTTGAGTAACTTAAGCTCTAGAAGCTTTTTTTTGAGACCAGTGAACTTTGAAGTCTATAAAACCAGAAATGCACATCTGTTTGTATGATGGGACCTCCCTGAATGCTACAACTGGATGCCATGTGGACAACGCTTAGCTGAACAAGGAAACATTTCAAATACTGAAGAGGTGGTAAATATTCTGTATCACTTTATCCTGAAAGGATTTTTCTCTTGGTCTATTGGGATTGTCCATTTTAAACTGTAGGACAATTAGCAAAAAACCAAATAAACTTACCCACTTTCATTTTTCCATTCATTGGAACCTGCCAGGCTGTGCCAGTGAATGGCTCTGCCCCACTGTTTCAGATCCTCAATGCAGGAAAACCAGTGAGCTTTTCAGTGTTTCTTAAATGGCAGAAATAGCTAGGGGTCAGACTGAAAGGGATTCCTGTTGTGAATTAGCCAGCATCCCTATTTTATAGCCTGGCACTAAAGATTGCAATATCATATTTCTCAGATTATTACAAGTGCAGTTTTGAGTTGATGAGAGAATGGCAGAGGTCAAGGGTGGAAACTAGATTATAGTTCTGTTGGAGGAGGAGCTCAGTTGCAGAGTGCCATAATCAATGTTCTCCTGAAACGGAATTGTACTCAGGGATTATGCCTTGAGGATGAATATTTGAAATAAGGGGACTTGTGTTTCCTATACCCATTTTTATCTATTATCAGTGCTTACTCTATGTTGATTTCCTTAATTGTAACCACTTCCTAGGTCATGACTTGATTCTCAGGTCACTCTGATTAATATTATCTCGGTCCTTGTAACAGGGGAAACTTAAAGTTTGAAGACACCAAGAGATACCTGCTTGTTTTTCTCATGTTTACAGTATTTGCTTTTGTATTAACTGTTCCAAAGTAATCTCTTCTTCTCCCCTGTATCTAATAAAGTGAGTGAATTACTTAACACTGAAAACACTGCATGAAAGTATGAATGGGTACACAATAGGAACATTATTCTTATTTTACGTGTACTGATCTGTATTCTGCTTATTGCACTAGGGCAAACTCACAGTGAGGGACAGCAGAGTCCTGTGAACCTCATGGAAGGCAGAATAGACTCCCAAACCCTCAGTCCTGTATCAACACCATTTTTACCTCTGATGTTTTAATGTACTGAATTATATCTATTATGAAGTGTACATGATGAAAAACACAGTAATTTGCTGGTACAAAGCCAGTGTAATGCAGCTTCAAGGAGCACACAGAGAAGGAAACAAGAAGTCTAAATATATTTATGATAAAAGTGCTACTAGAGGGAGCTCATATAATTCCCTGAATAGAGTGGTAAAATTGCCATTGGCAAATGAAACATGGAGAAATGGTTCTTTTAATAATTCTTTACCATTTTACTGTTCTTCCTGCTGTGACTGATAAATGCTTTACTGGCCTGAAAGACATTAACATAATCCCGTCCTTGAAATGTGAGAGCTATTATGATAATTTTCACCCTTATTTCTGTTACTGGGGGAAAAAAAGCTACATGAGTCCCAAAACCGATTATTATCTGTGCATTGGGAGCTTAGTCCCAAAAGGCACACAGGAGTGTGAAAAATCTGAGATAATTGTTATTTATACCTTGTTTTCACAGGGTTGGATTTCAGCTATTTGTGCAAACCCTGAGTATCTCAGTGGGGAAGGACTTGCTTGAATACATGGTTTTAATGTTTCCAGTATATACCCATTTAGATTCTAATGTAGCAGTCTTTGGTGTAAATACGTGAGTATAACTGGAAAATGTGATTTTACCAAGAAGGAAGCTGTTTTTTTTCATCAGTGGGCTGGGCTGGATGCAGGGCTTGGATTTGTGATGTGGTAAATCCATCGGGCAAATGGATTTAAATGACAAACTTTCTCTACACATTCCTTTACCACGTTCTGTATGTGGAAACAGGACTGTGTCCTCCTTCCCAGTCATCTGTCATTTTCTCTCTCCACTTACTCCCTATTTCTGCCATCACGCTGAGGGTGAGGGTGGAGATCAGGAGCAGCTCTGGAGCTGGGTTATGAAGGAGCTTCCCACTAGGTGGTAGTGAAGAGAATCGTGTCACACACGGTCACTGCACATTGTAATTAGGTTTTATAAAGGGGAATCCCACAAGGATCTTACAAGAAAATAGCCTAGTATCGCTCCCAGCTGTACAGTCAGAAGTGGATCTCTTGATTTTTGTTTTTTTTTCCTTCCTTTTCTGCTCCTGTCCATGCTATTTGTTCCTTCCTAAACAAAGCAGGGTTGACAACTATACCTGTCATGTCCTTTCCTGAAGGGTGAAATGTCTACATGAAGCTCCTCTGGTTCTCTCCACCTCCACTACAGCAGAATCAAGACATGGTTAGCTAATGTCATCTGCTGACATTTAAACAGCTTGGAGGCGAGGACTCTTTGTAGCCAGTACTTTCATCTGATTTTTCTCTACCTACCATGCTTGCCTCTGGGAGCTGCCCTTCCAAATATAAAAATATTTTTTAAAAGAGTTTTGTTTGCTGCTAGTTCTGAAATACCTTGACAGGTCTAAGTAAAGCATCAGTCTACATCAAAGGTTCCAGGCAGAACAGGCATTTTGGGAGGACTTTGTAATGTCAGAGTAAACTGTCACTAAAATTCAGACTAAAGTTCTCTTGTAGGTCCAAAGAGAGACTGTGCAGAAGATACAATGAAAAAATTATATGAGGAGTGCAAGCAGTGCTCCAGTTTGCAGTTGAGAGTAGATGCTGGGTCTGCAGGGAGGAATAAATTTCTCCTGTGAATTCATCCCATCGCTATCCTGTAATGATAGAGCAAGCTTGCAAAATCATTTAATAGTCTAGTCACAAAGCCTGAGATGCTGGAAAGAAATTATACTTTAATTGCTCATCAGCTATAAATCATTTGTGCCAAATTAATGTGCTGGAAATTTTGCAAGACTGAGAAACTGGAAGCTGAACACAAAACAGGCATATTGTTTCATAGATAGCAATATCAGTTTTACATCCTTCTCAGCAAAAAGAAAATTAGGAAAGGCTCCTTAGTATCAAGACAAGGCTGAAGACTGATTTATCTTTCTCTGCATTGATTTAAAAGGACAGAGAGGTCATTTTTTCTTCTTACATTTACTCTGTTATAATCAATGAAAAGGGTAGCACCAACAGGCATTCAGGTTTGCACCACAGAAGAGTGAGGATTCCAAATTGTTTTATTATCTAAGCATTTGTGCAGGTCTTTCTGCTGTGCTGAGGAGAACAAAAGCAGGGACTGTATCTACTGTGCAAACCCTACCCAAAGCCTGAGATTTTTGTTTTTTAGACAGGGGATATGTGTATGTGGGAACAGCAGAGTTTCCCCCCAAACTCACAGAATGGGCTGTGGACCCCACTGTTCCAGCTCTGAGCATGACTCCTCCCTTCTCCTCTCATGCCCACCAAAGCTCACCGATCTACCCAGATGGGCACAGGGACTGTGCACAGGGTGCAAGCTGAGGGCAGAGATCAAACAGGGCAGGAAGTTTCTCCAGTTAGTCCAGCCTGAACTGGATGGGAGGAAAGTTTAACATTCCTCACCCTCTCATCCTTCCAGCACCCCCAGCTGCCAGGACTGACCCCAGCAGGGATCCCGTGACCCAGTCAGGCACAGGTACTAGGAGCATTTCCACCTCATGGCTGATAAATCCCATTCTCAAACAGATTTAGTAAGTGGGTAAAGAGCTGATTATGGTGGGAGCTCTAAGGTCATTCCTCTCCATGAGGCCAAAGGGCTGGGAAAAACACTGAGGATTTGGGTGCTGAAGTGACACAACCCATATCACGAGTTTTGAAAGCATAAAGATACAGGGGGAGAAACCCTCCGTGTCCAGCACCATCTTAATAAAAGCCATATTTAACTGGAGCACAGGAGTCCCAGGCATTCCCTCCACCAAGACCAAGTAAATCTGTGTTGCATGTGCAGCATCCTCCTGCTGCAGGTCCCCAGAACTTCAGGTAGCTGCAACACTTTGCAGTTTCCTCTGTACTGACTAACGATCTGAGCTAGCAGGGATGAAGTGATCTGCCCATGATTACACAGCAACTGGTGACACAACAAAGATGAACAGAGACATTCCTTCCTTTTAATCCTCTGCCATGACCATCCAGCAGCCTAAGGTTTTTCCATTTAAGAGAATAAATGAGATGGACAGCATTAAAATAATTTATTCAATCTACTACTGAAGTCGGCTCCAAATTTCAGAGGCATCTGGCATTCCTGTATATGCAATGAGAATGTCCCAGTGTCTCATTATTTTTTTGAAGATCCTATCGAGGCATAGAATTTCTTCATTCCTGTTTTTAAAACAAAGAGTTATTTTTATCATTCCCATGCATTTGTGCTTCTATTTATATTTGATGCAGTAACATCACCTCTAACTGTATGTTCAAAGGGGCTGTTCTCCCTCCCACGCTGAAGGGACAATGAGCGGGAATGCACAGCTGGATGGGAACAATTGATCCAAGCTCTGCAAAGCCCCACTTGCACAAAATTGCTGCAAGTGAACTCCCAGGAGGTGAGGATTACTGACATGAGCAAACCCAGCAAAACGCACCAGTTCTGCATTTGGCAGAAACGTAACGAGGGGCTGAGGGTTTGGCAGCAGGAATCAGACCAATATCAACGCAGCAGTTTCTCTGCCTAAGACTCACACAGGTTTAATATCGAGCTGGTGATAAAACGAAGCACATGATTTTTATTTGGTCAAAGTATCTGGAATGTTATTTTCCTTACTTAAAAAAAAAAAACAAACCCAAACATTTTGAGCATTTGATCCTGTTGATTTTACTCATTTTCAAAGTCCACAAATCAAAAAATACAGTACTCTCTAGAAACACCTGTGCGTTTGATGAATTAACAACGCAGTTACGAATTATTTTACCTGAAGGGCGCATTTACCGGGCACCCCGCGTTCAGAGGAGCCCCGGGAAAACGCGGACTGCTGCGGGAATTCAGCGCCGCGCCGGGAGCGCCCCGGGGTCACTCCCCGGCCCGGCTGCGAGCCCGGGGGAGCTGCGGGAACGAAACGGCGGCTCGGGATTGACGCCGGGAGCCGCGGCTCCTCACCGGAGAGCCCCGGCCCCGGTCCCGAACCCGCCGGAGAGCCCCGGCCCCGAACCCGCCCGCGCCCTTTGGCCGCCTGAGGCGGCTCCGCGCCCCACTGCGCCTGCGCGCGGCCGGCGGCGGCGGCACGTGAAGCTGTTGTGGGCACGTGACCCCGCGCGCCGCGCGGGCCCCGCCCCTCGGCGCGGCTCCGCCCCCGCCGTGCGCGAGCGCGGGCACGCGGCGCGGCCTGGCCCGGCCGCCCGGTGCCGCCGCCTCCCGCCCCCGCCCCGCCCCGCGCCGCCGTCGCCGCCGCCGCCGCCGCCGCCCCGCCGGCCATGAGGCCCCGCCGGCGTCCTAGCGCGGCCCCGCGTCGCCGCTGCTGAGCCTCCGCCGGCCCCCGCGGCCACCATCGCCCTTCCCGCTCGCGCGGGGACCCCCCCTCGGCTCCCCTCCCTCCTCACAGCCGCCGCCATGTTGGGCCGGGAGCCGCAGCGGGGCCGCCACTGAGCCCCGGAGCCTGCGAGGAGGAGGCGGAGGAGGAGCCCGGTCCCGGCCGCCCGCAGAGCCCAGCGCCGGCCGCCCAGCCGCAGCCATGGCGGAGCAGACCTACTCCTGGTGAGCCGCGGGGCCGAGGCCACGGGGGGCTCCGGGTCGGGCCGAGCGCGGCCCCACGCGGGGCCGGGGTCCGGGCGGGGGGACCGGCCGGGGGCTGCGGCGGGGCCGGGGCACCGAGGAGCGCGCTGGTGGAGGGGCTGCGGGCTGAGGGCTCGGCGCGGCTGAGGAGGAGGGATTAGGGGAAAGGAGGAGGGACGGGCGGCCGGGCTGTGCGGATCCCCCCCGCCGGCAGCCGGGCAGAAAGAGGGGATCGCCGGGAGCACTGGCGAGGTTGTCACCCCCTGTCCCGGAGGGCTCCGTGCGAGCTGATCTCTGCACGGCCGGCGCTGCCGTCCGCCGGGCCTGGAGAGGGACAGGAGCTCGTTCACGGCTCTGAGGCTGCGGGTCACCTCTGCCTAAAGGGAGATTTATGCCGGCGCAGGCTGGTAAGTCGGTGGCATGTGTGTGTGTTTTCACCTAGGGACAATAGGCTTGGTCTGTGTACAGGAAATAGAACGACGAGGAAGAGACCAGTTCCTGTGGAAAGACATGAAGTATAGCAAATGAGAGGGCATTTTTTTCTGTGTCCTGACACTGTCTTGGGCCTAGCTGGCAGTGGATCAAAGAGACGAGGTGCAGTTTCTTCCTATAAATCTGGGGGTTTTGTTCTGTTGTGGATCACAGCCAAAATACCTCAAATAATTTACCTGCGCATCATCTCTATTGACCTGACCACTGCAGCAATTTATTGTGATATTCTCACTGCATTTTAAATCCAGTGATGTCATCCAGAGCTGTTTCTTAGATTTTTTGAATAAAGTTACTTGTTTTGAAATAAGTCCCTTATTAAAAAAGGAGTTAAGTCTTAGTTTTTGACCTTGGTGTGTACTGAATGTGGAGAAGGGTTTGAACATGCAACAAATATCCCTGTTCTGAATGGTCCCATTACTTTTCAAAACTTGGAACCCTGTGGGGATTTCTGTTCTGCCACATGTTGAGACTTTGTCAGCCCCTTCTTCCCTCTCTTGTTTCTTCCCTGTCAAGAACCAACATTTGTATCAGTCTTCTGCTTTTTAGATGCTCTTATTTTGTTTCCCAAGCTCAGTTCAGGCAGTGGTCTGGTCTGCTTTAAAATAGCAGTGAAAGGACAACTCTTTTGACTTAAAAGATAATTTACATATTGACACAGTAAATGAATATTGGTACAGATTTAGGCAGTTTAATGTAGTTCATTTAAATGTGTCTTAGTGTGTTTTAATTGCAGAATGAAATTATAAATTCATTAACTCTTGGATTTGTCAGCTTTCTGGAAAGAAGAAAATGAAACAAAATGTCAGTTATACATTATTTTGATCTTAACTCATTTGCTTTTTTGAATGAGTGTTTTTGCCATAGTAATAGTCTAAAGGGAGGATTTTTAACAGAGGCTGTGAGAGGATTTCCTCTTCTGCAGGTTGCATATTTTAAGGGAATGAATTTGCGATTTAAAATGTTCACTGTGCTAGGTGTATCTGAAGAATGGAAGTTCTTTCTTACAGTACTGAGGTTGTAGAATGAGGACATGATGCTTAAAACCCTATAATTTTAGATCTGTATTCTCTGTGGTGTCCTCATGGATCTGAGGTTTCTGTCACTTTGCATTTTTACCTTGCCTGGGCCTTGTGTGGCCTTGCCTGGAAGCTATGGGAGCAGTGGACAGAGCAAAAATCCAATTTCAGTCATGCTCTCTTCTCTGTGGGTATTTCATTACTTATACTTATACATGCCTCAGTTTATTTACAGTTGTGATGATCAGCTCAGCATAAAATTGACCAGCATTTTTAGGAAAAGTGTGCATTTTGTCACCTGAGGAGGCTGGTGCTCCTGTGCAGCAGAGCTGTGCCCTGGAGCTGGTGCAGGAGCTCTGTTTGGAAGTTGGCTGATCCCATCCTGTCCATTTGGCAGACCTGATCCTTTCTCTGTGTTACAAAGGCAGCTTTCCAAGAGCAGGTGTGTTCTGTGGTGCAGTGTCCAGCTGCTGTGCACATCCCTTATTTCACTACTGAAAATGCATCATCTGGCATTGAGAAAAATCCTTTCAGGCCCCTGTCTCTGCATGGATGTGAATTGGTTCCCAGCTGCAGTAGCACTTCCCTTTTGTCCAGGTGCATAAGGCTTGGTTCCATCTTTTTGTCCCTAACTGTCTGCATGTGTTGTTGAACCACTGTTGCTTCACAAGGTATGATAAAAGCTTATTGTGGGATTGATTTTTTGAAAAAAAAAAAAAAAAAGTCTCAGTTGTGTTAAAAATACTTTGAAAAAAGGTACTTGCCAGCTGTGATTAGTGGACATGAGCATTGGCAAACATGAGAAATAGGGCTTATTCAGTGACTGACAGTCTTGTTAATGATGCTGTTTTCAAGAGATGAGAACTAATTCTCATGTTGCTTTATTTATTGGTTTGTACATATGAATCTGAGATTTTTAAGGTAGGTTTGCATATTTGTTTTAAATTCCAAGTGAACTGAATGCAATTACTTTATTTTATTAAGATACTGTAAGAAGGAGAGACTAAAGCTTTCCCCCCATCTCTTTCATAGTTTTAAATACATGAGCTATCTTTTGACAGTGTTCTTGTAAGATATTTCTTCTGACAACTTCTTTTCTTCAGTGGTGCCCGCACCTATAACCATATGTACTTTTATTTAACTCTTTTTAAGTGTCTTAAGTTATCTTGCTGAACCAGTATTTCAGATAGAGGTGTCTTATCCTGAAAGGAGGCTCTGCTGAGAATTTTGCTGGTGAAAAAGAGTACTGTCATCCTGGAAAAACTAATTTTAATGTGAAATGTGGGATAAATCCCAGATGGAAATACTCTTTCAAAGAATATATACTTTTTAAAAAGAAAGGGTGTTTAAATCAAATGCTTGTCAGTGGCGAACAGAAAAACTTTCTTTGTCAAGTTCCTGCAAAAATGAAAGGAGAGGAGAGCTGTGTACCATACTGCTGCATGGCAAGGTTGCTCATGATTTTGTAGATTAAGTAAGAGCTAAAATTAGTTTTCTGCAAGTGGAATAGAATGGGAGAGGAAAGAGGTTGTTGAATACCCATTTTCCCCTTGCTTCCTGTCTGTGCTCCAGCAAGGAAGTGGAACTGGTAGTGACAAAAGTTTCTGCTATAGCAGAGGGAATAAGCATGGACAGAGCAGTGTGTGTATGTGTGTGTGTAAGAGATTAGTAAATACCAAGAAATTTATCTTCAGGCACCAAGCTATTGGAAGTATGACAGCAGATGAGTATGGAAACAGCAAGACATAGATCATTACTTTGCAAAACACTTGGTCTGTCCTTAATTTCTAGCATTTTGTGGTGAATTTGTTGTGCTGTAGCCTATTGGGAAGGCACAGCACCATTCTTATCTTGTTTATCTTCAGTTAGTAGGTGTTTAGTGTTTTTCAAGGCCTGATGTAACACCCCCTTCCTTTTTACTGCTGCCTAGGCTGGCAATAGAGATTGCTTTGTTCTTTTTTTGCCCTTTGAATGCACAAAAGATTTTCACAGCTTCCTTCATTGGTGAAGAGTGAAGAAGGGGATTTCTACACCAAAATCAAATGTATTTTTAATATTTTCTTTCCAAGAGTGTTGTATAAAAGTAATGTGGATTGCCATGCAATGCGCGTGCCCTCTCAGGGTGGTGATTAGGAGACAGACTGGGAGGGCAAGCTAAGAACAAAAGAAGAAGGCACTGTATTGAGTCACTAATCTTAAGAACAACTGAACTCCCTCTTAAATGTTATAATCAGTGGGATGATTCTTGTATTAGCCATCAAATGTTTCATGAGTGAAATGATATATTTAGAAGCTTCTCTTCATAATGCAAAGGGGGTGGAAATTAAATCTAATGATGTGTCAGAGTAATCAATAAAACTACTGGGTTTTGGAATAAGTGTAAATGTACAGTGCTGTCTTTGCTCCCGGGAGAATTCAAATTGGTGTTAGAAGTCTTTCTGGATTCAGAGGTCTGAGAATTTGCTTTGATTGCAATTAAGCATTTAACATGCTGCTGCCATGAATTAAAATGCAGTTTCTTCCAGAAGACTCAGGTGGTGCTTTCAAGTCTTAGCTGGCTGGATTAGATGTGTATGTGGGAGGGCAGGGAGTAAGAGGAGCTACAGCTTGTTGACAGAACTTGTCAAGTACTAGTAAAATAATTTTTTGCATTCAAGATTTTTTACTTGTTTGCTTAGTTTAGTCTGGGAGACCTTAACTGACTAATTAAGGTTTTCCGAGGATGGGAGGCAATTTACAACAGAAAATAAATAATTCACCTGAATTTTTAAAATTCTGCGCTTGATAGGCAACAGATTGCAAAGCACATAGATGAAATTCTGTTGTGCTGCTGTCAAAAATCTGTCATGAAATCCTGGCATGCAGACGTGGAGTTTGGCCCTTAATGTTGCATTTTTCAGGAGCTGAAATTACCGGCCACGTTCCATTTTAAGGATTGTTAGGAACCTCCTGAGAACAAGGATGTCATTGTATGAATGTGTGTGAATATCTAGCACGAGA